GGGGGGGGGGGGGGGGGGGGTGCAAACATCAGGGTATTTGCATTTCTGCTGATTTTTCAATTTCTTTCAATAAATGAAATAATTAATTTGTGTTTAATCAGGTTGACTTGGTTTTATCAATCTTTCCAGACAGAGATTGAGTTGGATGTTGTCCTGCCTTTTAGATATCACTCAAAAAAGACAAGGGCAGGCCTTCCTTTTATCATTTCCTCCACCCTCTCTCTTTCACATCAACACACATTGGCCAGCCCCACGCTGAAATAGGGAAGGGAGGGGAGAGAAGAGAAAACTAAGACAACCGGCAACTTACTGTCTACACACTCAGAGAGCAGAAGAATCAGAAAAACCACACTCACTCACAGATATTCTCACACACACGGTTTCACTGTTAAACCAGGGATTGATGCCTGCTTCTGACAAAACGTTTCACCTCCTGTCATCTGAAGGAAAAGTAAACTTCAAGCAGAGAAGAGGATCTGTGCAGAAGAGAGGAAGACTCAGTGGGGAAAGGTTGCTGCCTCTGTTTCGGATTCACACAGAGATATATTCTTTTACTGGTGAGTGTTGGAGTGATCAGTTGAGTGATGGTGTGCTTTTCCTCCCTCCCTTCCTCTGTGTTTCAAATCTATTTATACAAATAGTGACTTTCGAAATATGCTATTTGGGTGGTTCACTTTCCCAGAGCTTGTTTTAGATGCAGCTGAGACAGAGTGAACACTTGTATATGTCCTGGTTCCAGTAAATGTTAGTACAGTATGGCACAAACAGAAGAACAACCTGTTTAAAGGAGGGACTGATAGTGGAAACACCTACAGTCAATAATTGTAACTAATCTAAGGCCATTATTAGACCACAGAAACACAATTAATTAAAAAACTGTTAATCTAAAGGGGGACTGTAGAGAAATGTTAAAAATAGGGAACGTCTCAAGGTATATATATAACTCTATGAACAGTGTATGCTGTGCACCTGTCACATGAGCTCTGTCTCTTTGGACTCACTGTTATAGTCTTGTATCACATGTATTTAGTAGTTTTACAGGAAGTTAGCGTCTCTTCCTCTAAAACCACCAACTTAATGCAAATCAGGTGTAACAGGGCGTAATATCATTGAAGAACTGATGGAAAATATTAGATTTTCTACTGAACCATAATCAGGTCTGTATGTATATATGCTCAAAAAGGCAGCAGGCATGTAATGGGCCTGGACATATCAACATTTAAGTGTATCTAGCCATGCACATAGTTTCGGTTTGGTTTGATTTCACCCTGATAAAATGGAGGCAAATGAAATTTCAAAAGTTACATGTAAAAAATGTTTTCATTGTAGCTGTTCTACCAAAGAAGTAGCCCCCCATGAAAGAGTAACATAGTGTTGTTTCTAGAAAAAGATGTTGCTGTTGATGTAATATTTTAGTTTTTTGAGCACCACTTTGTGTCGGGGTAAAGGCAGAAACCTCACAGGCAGATTTCCAATTTCCAAACCTGCGCATAAAAACTCCAAACTCCCTGCATGGGTAGATACCATGAGTATCTACAAGTAAATTAGGTATTTTTCTTATTTGGGTGAACCGACCCCTTTAAAGGTGAGGTATGACCAATTGTATTGCCCCTTTATTTCCCCCGTTATCAGCAACCCTCAATTATTCTTTCATATTCATTTGTTCATGTCACAATCCTGCAGGTGTGTGCGCTTATCTCCATACTGGCCAGTAAAAATCTGACTGCTTTTATGACAGCTAGGCTGTAAAGTAAGGTATTTTGCCCACCCTGGAAAAATGAACTTTATAACAAAGAACTGGTTGTAACAGTAAGTGTGTCTGTGTGAGAGATGATGTGAACCAGAGGTGAAGCAGAGTTTCTCATTATCAGGCAGAGAGAAAAGAGAGCCATTCTGAGCCAGTGACCCCATTAGGCACAGGCCATCCAGTGATGTTTAAAAAGCTCTCGGGGTGCGGTGGGAGTCCCAGGCCCCGGGCCCATCATGATCCCCCCCTTGGTTTCAGCCCAGCCCAGGCCGGAAGAAGGCTATTCTCGTCCCGCATTGTGCTGCCGAGCTATTCTGACGCTGTCCATTGTGTCCGAATGCTTTCCATGACTCTCAGCGATTTCAGTGGGTCTGCACCTTAAACCCCTCCATTATGGACTGGCTTGCATTGCCACATTTGCTGTGTTGGCTTTTGCTTTCAGTCCCCCCACCCTCCATTCATCCCAACCCTAACTTTTGAGTTTTCAGCTAACGTAACAACTCTTACACAGAAACACTGAATACAAGTGGGTGCATTCAAATGCCAAGTTCAGATCCAACCACAAAAAACGTTTTGCTTATAATAGTAGTTGCGTAGTTTCATTTGTAACTGAAAAACACATAAAAAACATGCTTGCAAAAACTATTTCCAAATACGGAACATGTTAGCAAAGCAGACATTGTAAGACAAGAATTTTAAAATTTCCTCTTCCTTCTTTTGAAATTATAGGAAGCAGAGCTTTCACATGTGTGTTTCAACAAAGCATTTGTTAAACTACAGTGTTCTCTTTTCTCAGTACAGACAGCTTCATGGGTGAAAGATGAGTCTCCAGCTGCTGGTTGACTGTGAGTGTGTGAGTTATTCTGCAATGGAGGACGTTTCCCAGCAGACTCAGTGACTCCCACCGCCACCTATGCCTCCTGCTGAATGTGGAAAGCCTAGGATGGAAGACCCACCAAGTGCTGGTCTGAGGCACTGGAATAACACTTGCAACCTCCACATCCTCAGCCATCTCACCTCCTCCTTTGCACACACAAGCTGCTCCACCATCATCACCAACCAGACGAGGACCACCGCCACTGGGTGACAAGATTCCAGGATGTTTGTGAATTTCCGCCGGATACGAAAATGCCAGTGTGTGCAGCTGATGACCACCTGCTTGGTGCTGTCACTGATGATGGTTTGCTGGGAACAGCTGGACAACAGCGTCGTCAGCCACGTCAAGTCCTACTCATACCGCTACCTGGTCAACCGCTTCACCTACATCAACAAGAGCCTCACCATCCCACGTGAGCAGGCCAGAAGCTTCAGCAACTTCCGCTACCTGCTGGACCACCCGAAGAAGTGTGTAGGCAAGGACGTCCTCCTCCTCCTCTTTGTCAAAACGTCCCCAGAGAACATTGAGAGGCGAAACGCCATCAGATCCACCTGGGGTAATGAGACCTACATCCAGAATGCACTGGGAGTGACAGTCAAGGTGGTGTTCGCTTTAGGAGTGCCTCAGACCAGGAAGGGGGAGCCCTCGTGGAGCAAGAAGAGCGGGATTGGTTTTCAGAAGCAGCTCATCCTCGAGGACAGTCTCCATGGTGATTTGGTCCAACAAGACTTTTTAGACTCCTTCCACAACCTAACCCTGAAGCTCATCATGCAATTCCACTGGATGCACAACCGCTGCACACACGCCCGGTTTCTCATGACCGCCGACGACGACATCTTCGTCCACATGCCCAACCTGGTGAGCTACCTGCAGGAGATGAGCAGCAGAGGCGTCACAGACTTCTGGATTGGTCGAGTGCACAGAGGAGCTCCGCCAATCCGCAGCAAAGACAGCAAATACTATGTGTCTTATGAGATGTACCAGTGGTTGTCGTACCCAGACTACACAGCTGGGGCCGGGTATGTTGTCTCCAGCGACGTAGCGGACAAAATCTACCATGCCACGCTGACCCTGAACGCCTCTCTTTACATAGACGATGTGTTTATGGGCATCTGTGCCAATGCCGTCGGTGTGTCACCACAGGAGCACGTCTATTTCTCAGGTGAGGGCAAAGCTCCCTACCACTTGTGTATCTATGACCAGATGATGACGTCACATGGTCATGTGGAGGATATCTATGACCTGTGGAAGGCAGCTACCCACCCGCAAGTGAAACAAACAACTTCTGGACTCATAGGGAGGCTGTACTGCACAGCTGTGAAAATGTCTTTCCTTTGTAAACCTTACTATTTTAACACCTATCCTTGCAAGGCAGCCTTTGTTTAGTCCGGGTTGGGTGTGTCAGTGTGCGACAGAGAGAGAGAGAGAGAGAGAGGGAGTGTGTCATAGGTCGTAATGAAAGGATGATCATCGCTGAATATTACCTCAGTCCTTTCAGTTGGACACCCATGTCAAAACACTGGAGCGCGTGTTCACTGTCGAGAGACCGGGCGGTTCAGGTTTGTCACTGTTACTGTGAGATCACCAACGTGTCAATGACCTCTAGTCTTGGTGGTTTAATAATGTGATAACACTGGCTTTGCATGGACAGCAGAATGTGTTAAAGAATGGGTCCTAGAAAGATGCTGTTGTCTAAACTCAAAACAAGATTTTAACTGATGAACTAGTTGATAAAAGAACATACTTGTCTTGGATTCTGCACCCTTCTGCTGCTAAAAACAAAATGTTTGTCGAAACTTTTTCCAAACTATAAAAACATAACAGGGCCACCTCTCTCACTGGCGTTTACCTCAAATAAATACACTTTTTAAAACTTGAGGGAGCTATAGGAGGTCTGTGTTTCTAAACTGATGATGCAAAGCAGAAGGAACACATTTGGTTCCTGGTGTGTGAGTGAAAGTGAAAACCATATCCTGTTGGTCAGTGATGTGTCAAATCTTAAAATGTCTCCATGTCATTAAAAGTGCAAAATTCTTCACATCAAAGTAGAGTAGATGTTTAACTGCAACGACTTTACAAACAATTCCTGTGCTGAAATAATTATGATGTGTGGTTGTTATAAGATCTTTTTTTGTAATTTGTAATTTGTGAAATATGTTTTTTAATTAAATAAAATCTCCAAAGTGAAAGTGTTTTATTAATGTTGCTAGTAGTAGTCGTCAATAATGTCCGTTTGTTGGCCAGGAAACACAAGCTTAGGAAATGTCTATTAGGAAACACTGGAACAGTTGAAGAGTTCACTGGTTTGACAGCACAACTCTTTTAACTGGTACAACTTTAATGGCTTTTAATAGATTTATAATAACGACATTCTCTAGAAAAAGTCAAACATATTAGCAAGGCCAAGAAATAGTCCGGCACATAACCTGTGAACAGTTCACACTTTTGACACTTCCGGCCCAAAAACTGAAGTGTTAAGTGTGAAGTGAACTCTGACCACATTGTGTTTAGGCGCGAATCACTGAACCACAATACAGCGTATGCAGCGCATGCATAAGGTGCAATGCTCTGAAACCATGTGCACAAGACACCAATTACTACACAGCCTCATATGTTTGCCCTCCCGCTCCTAGCAACAGTTTGCTGAGCAGCAGAGCAGGTTTAAGTGCAACACGAGCCTCATTAGAGTGGAAGTGCAAACATCTTACATGGAACAATATATTATTTTAAAGCTTTATAAGTGAAGGAATGGATGTTGCCTGAAGGTGTGCACTGGAATACTGCCCACTATGATTTTGATTCAGGCATTTTCCATCTGACATGTGATACGTGGAGCCAAAAATACCCCTGGCATCGGCCAGAAAGTCATCAGTGTCCTCAAAGTGATCCACGGAGGCATCTGGCACACTGCTAACAGCAATAACTCAGGCTGGTCCCATGTCAGCGCTCAACAGATGCAAGATAAATGTCATAAACCTGCACAGACAAAATGGTGGTGATTTTTCACTTGTTTGATTAAATCAGGCCAGAGGAAATACCAAACCTGAAAAACAATGTCAGAGTTTTTGACAGGAAGTCAAAGACAGAATTATGATTTCTACACTCACACATCACTGAAGGTATGGTTTTTGTTGTTGTATTATTCTCAATTCAGACGTTTGTTGGATTTTCTGAATGTATATACCTGCATTGTTCATTGGCTACAGTAGCCATTGTATGTCCTCTTTCTGGTGCAGCAACAGCACGGTTTCCTCTCTGAGAATATTACATTTTTCACAAATCTCACCTCAGTAAAATATCAATTTTTCTTTGAAAATTACTAAGTAAACGTCTCAATGTCTCCCAGTTTAAGGTCATGAAAATGTCGCCCTCTCCTCACTTCATTTCCACTCACTGTGAATTGTCAATATGTTTATTTATGGCACCTCATCCTGAAATGTGATGTTGCCTGGATTAGCTGTTCCCCAAACAGCTGCTCTGTTTCCAAGGCAACATAAAGAAGAATAATTCACACATAGGATTTAGACCGGCCTAACAACACAACCAGCTGCCTACATCTGTTTACTAAACAGCTGAAAAGGAATTTTTTTAAATGGCCTGGTACTTCGATATAAACTTATAGATGGTAAATATGCAATCATGTTCATTTAAATTAGAAAATGTGATAATGTCATGTACAATATGTGAGCTATTTTGTATAATTTCCCTGGGAGATAAAAACTGGTTAGTTATTTTTAGATTTAATCTAGTGAACATGACAGAGGATCGGCCCATGAGGAGTCAGCCACGGACTTTAGACAATGAAGCTCATCCTTAGCCGATTCCCAAAAGGTAGCTTTGCTAACTAATTGTGTTGACAAAGTTGACATGCTAAATATAGTTGCAGACAGTGCTGGTCAGTGCGCCAGCTGAGCCCAGTGTGCAAGCTATTACTATAGCTCATTAAAAAATACTTTCAGAAGCCTCTCTTTGGGCACTGGCAAAACGCAGCCATAAGTCAATTATAAGAAGCATCAAAGAGGATTTACCAATGCGCGGAAAGTAAGTTTACTCAAGATGAACAAACTTCCTCAATTGTAATACTCTTTACTGATGTTGCCAAATTTGTACCTTGTACCTAGCAGCACCTTTGTCAATTCTGGTAAAATGTCACAATTTATCTTACAAGAAACAGATTTCAAATGAAAATAGGGAAATTCCAATGACTTAAAGCTGTAGTAGCTATTATATATAGTAACGTTACCAATCGCAATTCATACTTTGCAGTGGTTGCCATGGATACCTGGCGGGCAGCCCAAGGAAACCCGCCCCGACTTCATCTGTCCCTATTAATAGGTAAAAAAGTAGACGTTACATTTTTTCGAGTGGAAGTAATTGACTTGAATAAGAAACATTTCAAAGTGATCCTTGAAATTTTGGAATTAATGGACGTTTTAATTTAGTTTGAACCAAATTCCAATACCAAGAAAACTTGAAAAAATTAACAGCCGTGTATATGGTCAAATTATCACAGAAGAAATGATTGCCTTGGGTTTTTTCCCGTTCCCAGTAAAACTAAAACTTAAGTAAACGACGGTTACGCACGTAACAAACAAAAAAAGCCATTTAATGTTTGAAATGGGTGGCCATGGGGTTTTTGCAAACCTCGGGGTGAATAAATTAAACAACAGCAAGAAACATTGGAAATTAAAAACAATTGCAAAGTTTTTAAAGTTCAGTTTTTAGCCGCAAAGCCTTTTCCCTCGCCTGCTTGAATGAAAAAAAAATGCCCCAGGACAAAAAACACCGACCGGTCTTCCAACCACCTTACCATTTAGTTTTTACTGGGTTTTCTGGCCCTGGGAGAACGATGTTTCTTTTTCATTAAAGTTTTAAACTGGGTTTTCCTGCCCTGGAGAACGATTGTTTGCCCGTTAAATGTAATATTTTTTATTTTTTTTGGGAAGGCAACCCACTTATTTGGTGTTCCGGGGTAAAAGGCAAGTAAACCCCCTCACAGGAAAGGATTCCCCAAATTTTTCCAAACCCCTGGCCGCCATAAACTCCAAAACTTCCCCTGCCATGGTAGAATACCCCATGAAAAAGTATCTACAAAGTAATAGGTTGTTTTTCTTTTATGGGGTGGAAGACCCGAACCTTTTTAAAAGTGAGGTTATGACAATTGTTTTGGCCCCCCTTTAAATTTCCCCCGTTTATCAAAACAAAACTAAAATTATTCTTTCCATATTCCAAATTTTGGGTTCAGGAGTCCATTTAAAAAAAAAAGCTTCACCAGGACGTGTCCTCTGGGTGGGGATTTGGGGGGAATCGGGGAAATGCCCCAAGGAATGTTCCCTCAACTGTTCTAGAGACCTCCCCTGTTTCCAACCTCGGTTTTGAAACCCACACCAGGCCCTTCAAACAAGTTCCCGAGGGGGAACTTCCATCTGGGAAAACCCTGCTTGCCCTTTGGCTGGGGGGTTTGAACATAAGATAACATTTTGTAAATTGTTT